GATTGATTAATTCTCCTCAGTAATTGTGGCTTGCTGATATTCTTATGCCATTTTTGGACTGAGCTTACTGTACAGGCCTTCATGCTTAGAAGAAGGAGCAACTTCTGGTGCACTATCAGAGCAACTTTGGCGAAGGGCAACTGCTTCTGGCGCCTTCACAGTTTTTGAGAAGAGAGCTTTTGGGATTGCAGATGACATGTAATGATTTTGCTTTCTAAGTATTTCATGCGAATGTTATTTGCTAAGTATTTAACACATTCTTGTGGTTTACAGATATGAAGCCGGTCTTCTTTTTGCATACCTGGCCTTTGTTCCATTCTGTGAAGCAGGCGTAATGGATTCTCTTTCTCTTCAGGCAAGATTACCATATCATTGGATGTGGCTAGTATAAATAGCTCTGTTTTGCTCATATTAACAAAAAATCTCTATATTGATCCAACAAATGTATCAGCTCTGATCTTTTGTGTTGAGAATACCTTCTCCAAACAGTTTTTGTTTAACGGTAGTTTAATCTAATGAACTACAGAGGCTACTGGAAAACACTTTCCGTTTGGATATCGAGGCTGTACGAGAGTAAGCCTCTTGCTATCTCCAGATTAACTAACATTCTCTATAGTCAACAAGTTTCTTTTGCTAAAACTTACATAAATAGCATATTATATAGGAATCAAAGTGCCGTTGTATTCAATTAATTGATTGTTCCAGCAGGTGTTTGTGTGTATGAAAAACCTCAGTAATTTTTTTTATACAGGTACTGTTTAGCCGATGAACGACTGGAAGAAGCTGTTAAGTTTCTGGATCTTGGTGATAGAGCGGGTTGGGAATTACTCCAGGTATTAATTTCCTCCAAATATCGTTCTTCTTAGTGAAGAAATTAAATAACTTAGTTCTGATCAAATTATATCTTAACAGTAACTGGGAACATTGTGTGTGTGGTCTTTTGGTAGGCAATGTTGTACGCTGACCATAGGAAACGTCCAACGGCCGAAGCTGTTCTTAGTCATCGATTTTTGAACGGAGTTGTTAATTGAAAAGAGAGAAAGATTATGTATTTAGGTAATTATCTACACTTGATAATCATTGATCAATCTGTTTTTTTTTTTTTTATATGGTGGTTTTTTTTATATCAATCTGTTTATTATTTGGTTGATGCCTTTACGGTCGCATAATTTTACTGACAAAACATAGATCATAATAGAAGTTGTATGAGAGTTAAAAAAGAGTAGTAGTTTTGGGGCATTTCTTCACACAAGGTATCAAACAATCTGGGTCAGTGCCACATTTGATGCTGCAATCTCTGTAACATATAGCGGTCTTGCCTTGTTCTGGTATTGTTGGTTCCCCCCTTTGTATCATTATCACAAATTAAGACCGCACACACATTAATTTCGTATATGTCAATATTATTAATAAGGAAATATTTTGTATGAAAGATTAACATATATGCATTACGTACTCTTGGAGAGATGGTTGTGCGGAATAGCCTGGTTCGGGATCACAAACGTCCATACATTGCATCTGACATTGGTAGTTATCTTTGCCGCATTTGGTAGTACAGTTTTTAAGACACAAACGGTCTTTCTTTGTTTCGTTTGTATCCATTCCATTGCATGCTTTTAGACGACATTCCATTATCACCAATACCATTACCAGCATCATCATACACATTTTTTGTGCCATTTTGGTTACAAGTTTTTGTTCAGCAGATATAAAAATCAAAATAAGGTTGTTGTTTGGTTTTATTTGTAGGTATATATATACATGTATATGATGGTTGAAAGTTAGTTTATTGAAGTATTATTTCATTTCCATACTTTCTGAATTAACAAGCATTTATTGTGGTTTGAATTGAATTAAATTTTACAATTCCTGTTTATATTGCAAACTTTGACTTAATGTTTTTGTTAATACAATAAACTTGCAATATCTTTGACATCGTATTCTTTATTAATACAAGAAAAGTAAAATGTATTGTTCCATCACGGCCGGTTTAACAATAGTAAAACTTCTTATGGGATATGGTCATGTTCAATATTTGAAATATATACTCTTATTATAGGGTTTTAAGCTGATTGATGCCTTGATGGTAATATATATGATCGCACAATTTTATTGTCGAAACTATGAGATGGAGGAAACTGATTATTGTTCGATGGTATTGTCGTATAATATATGTAATTTCCATTTAACTTTTGTTATAATCACACGAACGATACATAAACAATAGTTTTACTAGTTTCAAATTAATTATTCGTGGACATAACTTAAAACATTTTGATATTCAAAATCTAATTGTGGTAAGAAAATGATACAAGTTCACTAGAAACCAATCAAATTGTTGATCAAGAACAATATTTAGA